TGCGTGGTTAATGGTTGTTTCAACTGCACTGAACTGAAACAGGGTACGCAGTTTTTTTATCCCCACGCTTATGCGTTCGCGAGACATTAAAAAATAGATACACTTATAGGGTTTCGTGTCCTACATCTCCAACTAACGAACGATGCTATAATAGACTGCCAAATGCCCGATACTGTGATGAGATGAGGATAATTAGGAAAGTAAAAGAGCATACTCTCAGGAACTTTCTTCTGTAGATTGCAGTGTTCTGGGTATACCCTCAGGCCTACGCGACGTGTGGCATTTACCAATACCTGCATCGGTCGGACGAAGTCCAGGGTCGGTCGAAGCAGGCGAATGCCAATCGTGCCTGTATATGAGCTGACACCGGTTAGGTGCTTCGGCGGCGGGGGTGGGGGTGAGGGTAGCTGTCCAATGAAGTGCAGTCTTCCACTGTCGAAAGAAAGCCCTGGTACCCCCACTCCTACGTCCATCAAGCGGGTTATTTTAACCGGTAAATTGCCCCTTACTGTGTTTATAACCTGGAATGACGAGTGTGCGAGTATGGATGGACGACAGGAGCCAGGAGGTCATAAAGGCGCGCAAGCCGTCACCACTGAACTGAATTAACTCGTACTGCGGATCAATCAGGCGTCGACGACAAGCTGGGCGCCTCATTATAAATCAGTACCGACTGTTCTATTGGAGAGCCGTTTCATCATAAAGTAAAATGGAATGCCCCAAGTAGTATTGAACTTTAATGTCGAGTGGGTAGCTGAACAGAACTGTGATGTGCACTAGACTATGTCGTCCACCCGTTATGCTGTATGAAGCACTCACGAAGTGCATCTGATAGAAATTGTTGCTCGTTTCAACTACTGAGTGTTGACTATTCCTACTTTGGAACCAATAATCAGAATTTGATTCTAAATGCTTTTACCTAGGCGCTTGTGGCAGTAAAACAACGGGAAAAGTGACCATTATACCTGCCCAAGGTTCGAGTTATTAAGACTTTCGTATTAGAAATAAAGTGATTTAGAATAAACGGGAGAAACCTCACGATTCACAGAAAAGAAGTGCATGCGTGGGAGGAATAATTCCATTTTGTTGATCAGTGTGACGCAAAACGTTCAAGTATGTTCCACATTTTGGTTCAGGTGAAAAAAGAGAATGGAAGTACTGCTGATTTCGATATAACTCACTCATGAACTTTCATTTGACTGCACACTTCAGCCCCTGCATATGTCGCCGTTGAAGACCAACACAGGGCAAATTAGTTTACTGGTCGAAAGAGGCGATATAGATTCTCTTGCTGTATATCGCGTTGTGGATTTATCCTGGATGATTGGCACGTGTTCAAGGGCCTCGTTTGGTTGCTTGAGGTAGATAAGTTAGTGGACTAAACTGTGACTTGTTGAATAGCACTTGACGAAGGATTCAATAAATATAAGGAAGCTATCCGAATATCGATCAAAGCAACAGTGGACTCTGATGTACGATGGAAGCAAAATCAGTGGATCTCCTCCACCTCGGTGGCCTTGCTAAATACTGGCAGATGCCAAATACGGCACAGCGCGCAAATCCATAGAACGCCAGCTTATCAAGAGCCTGAGGAATGACCGCGAGAAGTGGTTTGTGTAGCGAAATTCCGAAAGCCGAGACTGGCTGGTAATGACAGTTGCAATATTTTCCGTCTGGTGAGGAGTTCGAGCCCAAGCGCGACTTTTCAACTTTAGTGAAACGTCACATCGTCACCTCAGGTGGTTAAGTCCTGCGTACACTGCTCGAGCCTTGGAAACACTGGCGGTTATCTCCTTTGATGCGCTGCCGTCGTTAGCCACGCAGCTACCCAAGTACGAGAATCAGGCAACTTCAGCTAAATCCTGACCGTCTAGTTTCAGAACGGGATTCGGCGACACCCAGTTTTGCGGTATCACTGCATTGAAGGTGCAAAGCGCATGCCGAACGGAGCAACAGAACTCGCTGGTCTGTGCGTTTTATGCATCCTCCATACGTTCGAACAGGCGAACGAGGTCGTCGGCGTACTCTAGGTCGCACAGTTTTTCTCCATCTGCCCATTCAATACCAATTTTGGGGACCACTTGGTGTGTTCTCCAGTATTTCGTCTATGACGGAATTGAAAAGGACTGGCGTAATAGGGCACCCTAAACGAACGAACTACTCAGCTGGCCTTAGATTGGGTTTGGAATCAAGGTGGTGCAGATAAAAAATGACAGATTAGTGGAGCAATGCATTGTGCAATGAACGTCACTTGTGGATCGGAAGTTAAAACCCGTCCGAGGTGTTATATCTCACGAATCCATAGCCCTAATGGAGAAAAAGCGAAAAATCTCTACCAGCCGGGATCAAAACAGAATTAGGTGGTATCTGAAAGGTCGAATAATGAAGAGCCCCAAGAATAACCGTAAATGCCGGTTTTTAAAATTACATAGTGAAATCTAAGTCGTCACTGCATCCTGGAAAGCTGTTCCAACTGATGCGCAACACGAGGTCAGAGGACCCCGGCTAGTGGAGTAATCTGCGATAAAACTACAAAGGCTATTCGAAACAACGAGCCGCTGGGTGTAGTATTTCAGCGAACAGTTTAGATGGTCCGTCACTAGCCAGTTCATCTCGTTGATGAATATGAAGCACCATGAGTGGCGTCGGATGATGTTTTAACAGAAGCAGAAGCACCGTCTCGTATACAAGCTCTGAGGGGAGAAGAAACAACTGGAGTTGCTGTACTCTAATCGCTTCAAGTGTGCGTGTGTGTGTGTGTGTGTGTGTGAGGGGGAGGATGGGTCATAACCTCATACTCTATTACTGACTTACTGCGCAACATCTGGTCACAAGGGACTGTTTCATAACGTTGCACTGCATCACTGAGAGTTCGAAGTTTGAAGATAGGATCTCGCAAGGAGTTCGCGAATCATCATAGGATACGCTTTCTGAAGTCATGCAAATAGCTATGTGATTTTTCTGATAAATTATGAAAGCCATAATGGTAATTAGTTTCTTCAAAATCACATTCATCTGTTTCATTAAGGATCATTCTTGGGTAAGAGTGTTCTGGAGACAGTGAGTAGTTTTAACCTGTTCCTGGGCAGAAATGTATGCTACTTCATCTGGTTAAAATCAGTGTTTGTACATCTCATTACAAAGTTGAGAATTTGACTTTTCTACACTATTATATTCGCACTGTCTTGCGACGGTTTTGTCTACCTTCTGTAGCTGTCCATATGGTCGACCACTAAGGAAGGAGTTAACTGGGGAGTTAAAAGCTAGAAATGTATCAAGTAGACCAAACCTGCATGACGGAATAACATGTTGCGATCGGGGCGTTTGATTATCATTTACCGTTTTATNTAAGTAATGTTGGCAATAATTCTGTTTTAGGCGATCCTACATCAAACAAATCGTGACAATGAATCCGAAGATTCAGGCATCCTTACGCCCTCTGACGATGCCAGTTCTCCCGGCACGACATACATATCGGACAAAACAATTGAGCCCGTCAATTCCTCAAATTCGTGTTCATCTAAAGTGTTCGAGAACAATCAATCACAAATCACAATTGCTATGAGCTCCGATGCGCATTTATCACTTCCCACAACAAAGTCATCACGCCGGTCTTCTAAATCTAAACATTCCAAGCGATCCAAACCGTCATCCCTGTCATATTCTCAACAACCGGAGCAGAATAATCAGTCCTTACGCCCTCTGACGATGCCAGTTCTCCCGGCACGACATACATATCGGACAAAACAATTGAGCCCGTCAATTCCTCAAATTCGTGTTCATCTAAAGTGTTCGAGAACAATCAATCACAAATCACAATTGCTATGAGCTCCGATGCGCATTTATCACTTCCCACAACAAAGTCATCACGCCGGTCTTCTAAATCTAAACATTCCAAGCGATCCAAACCGTCATCCCTGTCATATTCTCAACAACCGGAGCAGAATAATCAGAAGCCTATAT